GGAGGTGCTTGAACTCACCCACTTTGGAAGAGTCTACAGAATTAGCTACCATACCCTACACAAAACAGATCCAACGAACTATTTCAGAGGAAATAAATCTTCTACTACTTCTTAATTGGGTTGACAAAGTAGTGTTTTGCCAGGTTGACAAAGTAGTGTATGACATTTCAAACTTCGCTACTTTGAAGGTTTACTTGCTGGTTACGGTATTTGACCTATAGACTTGTTTTTGTTTGCGACTATCAATGTTCTAAGTAAAGGAAATCCCATTCTCACATTAAGTCCATGTTCGGTCTTCTTTTTGTGGCGACTATTAAAAAAAAGGCCTCTGCGCCTATTTTTCCATCTAGGCCGTTCCAGTTTGAAGAGGTCAGTTTGAAGAGCTTTCGGGTGTTACCGAATAAAGTAATTCAAGCTGATGATTCTCATGGGCCCGTTAAAGCACGATGAAGAACGTTCTTAATTTTCTTGGTTCTCTTTGCCCAGCAAATCCCCGTGGCTCCAGCAATGGACTGATACTATCCGGAGTGCTTCGCCTAATGTGCTCGGGTAAACTTTGTGGGTGAGAAAGAACAGCATAGAAGTGTAATTATCTCAACACCATAGACAATTCACTGTAGTCGAACAGACGTCTGTGTTGGAAGTGGTATTAGGTTGTTGAATCTCAAGCTTGACCGCAAATAAGAGGTTTTGAGCGCAGGAAGCGGGTGTCAGAAGCAGTTAATTGAAAGGTTTTGAGTATTGTCTGTCAGAGGCAACAAGCTTGCGGTACTTCATGTAGGGGGATGACGTAGAAAGAAAAAGGGGTGTGCTGATCAGGAAAAGACACAGGTTGAGCAAATAATCTGATGCAGGAATTGCTATTGGAAGCTGCTAAGTTCACGGTAGCATTTTCAGCATTGATATTATCGCTTTGTATTGCTTCAACATGAGAGCTGAGACCAAGATCAAGCATCTTTGTAACGCCTTGATTGAATAGGACACAACGGTTAATTTTGCTGGTATTGGTTGGTCCTTCTTTGAGGCTTCTGGAAGGGTGTGATGCCAAGGTCGGCGATCAGAAAACCGTGTTCCATGAATGGGCAGTACTTCGACTTCTCATCCCACTGAATCTGTGACTGTACTCAGAACTGAAGCACAGTGTGCCCTCCAGACCGTTGTCATGATCTAACACGACTACTACTAATATGTGAAAAGGGTGAAGAATATATTATATTATAGAAGATCTTACTTCAAATATTGTAGCAAATTATCTTAGAAAATAGACAATAGTCCAAAAGAAAGTAAAACTAAAGGTTTAAATGCCACCTTTTCATGAAGTAGGTTTCTACTTACTTTGTAAGCCCATAAATAAGGTAAAATAAGGTAGATTAGAAAATAAAGAATATGAGCATATAGAGGAAGATTTTATGAGTTTATTTAAATAAAAATGAACTCAAAAGGGTAAAATTTGATACTCAAATAGAACCGGTTATCAACCTGAGTCAAAAACAGACCCCGAGGCACAAAACCAAATACAAATGGCAACTCAAAGGTTCTTTGGCAGATCGGAGAGTGGAATTAAAGTGTAGACTTGATAAGATTTCTTGAAGTATAAATTTTGAGGGAATTAAGTATATAATGTTTTGACAAGAGCTTTGCAAAGTCACAATTGTTTTAGGCGACTTTGGAATTTATGAAATAAAGGGGTGTTACATTTTGGAGAATTTCGTAAGTTTGATAGTAGATCTACAATTCAAATTTTGAGGACTTATGAAAATAGTTATCCAAAGTGTGTGCTATAAGTTTGAGCTTGATCGTATAATTAAATTGAAGGTTATTGATTTTTAAATAGAATGAGGACTTAGAAATTGGACTTTAAGAGGTAGCAAGAATTTTTAAGATCTTCAACAATCTATTGATTGGACTAGAGTAAAATTTATTTGCAAGGATATTAGAGTTAATTTGCTACATATATGGAAAATTTGAGAACAATTGAATGGTTTAAAAAGGAGATATTGATGCTAGAAGTTCAACATTTAAATTGAAGTAAGAAGCCAACGAATACTTGAGTGGATTTTAGGATTTTTCTTCTATTTGATAAATACAATTATCTTCAAATTTTGTGTACTTATTGCCAACTTAATTGTTACAAGTATGTAAATTTTAAAGCAAGATCAGTGGTTCGATTGATAGATATTGAGATTCTAAATTATACTAGGATTAGATTGATTTAGGATTCAATATAGAATTAGGGTTTGGTTTAGAATTTGATTTAGGATTTAGGATTTTTCTAGGATTTGGTTTAGGATTTGTCTAGGATTTGGTTTAGGATTTGATTTAGGATTTAGGATTTATCTAAGGTTTGGTTTAAGATTAGGGTTTGGTTTAGAATTTGATTTAGAGTTTAGGATTTACAATTTATTTAGAGTTTGATTTAGGATTTGATTTAGGATTTAGGATTTGTCTAGGATTTAATTGAAGTCCAATAGGATTTCAACTAGGATTAAATTAGAACTTGATTGAGATTTATTTAAGATTTGTGATTATTCTAATTTTTTAGGATTTTTTAAGGATTCTTTTAAGATTTGTTGTAGATTTTTTTGCAACTCTTTTAAGATTTCTTATTATTTCTTTTGTAATTTCTTAAAATTTTCTTTTGAATTTGATTAAAGCTTGTTTAGCATTATTAAGGTTTAATTAGAGTTTATTTAATATTCTATTAGAATTAAGATTTTGTTATTATAACTTTGGTTCTACCTTCCACAGCTCGGTGCTCAGTGCACTTTCAAGCAAGACTTCACGTAATACGACATTCTAAATTGATCAAACATCTTGTGTATATACATTTTAAATCTTGATATCTAAAGCCTTCATCAACATTATTGTATGCAATTGATAACACTAAAAACACAATACAATCGAATGTAGTACTTGCATGAAGCCATGGAACATCAGTCTCATGCTTAAAATTGTGTGTTGCTAAATTAGTTCTTAGACCTCATCTAGATTGTGACTATCTAAATTGTTGGTGTTTTGTTTGATTTTGTATCAATTTGGACAAATGAGACTTTTCCTATTCAATGGACTTTTCACCAAATTGATTCGAGTCAATTCTTCTTACTTCAACCTATAGACAATGTTCAAAGAATTGAATGAATTTCAACTTGAACATACTTATATTAGCATTTCCAACACCTTTGGTAAAAACTTTGAAGAATACATCAGTTAGTTTTGAACTTTGGAATATTCAATAAACAATTGTTTTCTTTGACAATTGATCTGCTAACTCAAGTGAGACTCTTCTAACCAAGTGGGTGAAGAGAGGCCCAAGTGATCATCTTAGATGGCTAGAAATCAACCCTACTTCATAATATCATATAATAGGCCAAGTGAATATTATATATATATATATATATATAATATTTATATTTTGAGTAAAAAAAATATGAAAAATTAAATTAAAATTTGATACTTCAATTATGTAAAAGCCTATTTCTATCTTTCAAACATAGTCTTATTTGCTTATTTTATCCAAATATAGGATTTTAGATCTCAATATAGGTCAAATAAGAGAAAATTTAAAGATGTGTTTATTTTAACACTACTACATTTAGTTCTCTTGAAGTAAAAAAATATTATAAGCTATATATTACAATTTTGTATTAAAAAAATTTCTAATTTTTTATTATATTTTTTATATGTATATTTTAATTAAATAATTATATTTGAAATTAAATTAAAATATAATTTTTATGTACTTAAGATTTTTAACATATCTTATATATATATATATATATATATATATATAGTATATTTGAAAAGATTAATTTTGAAAATAATTATAATAATTATATTTAAAAAATCTTAATTAGATTTCTAATTAGTTATAATATATATACATGTGTGTTTATATATATGAATATATATATATATATATATATGTATATGAATATATATATCCTAATTAAAATTTAATATAGTTGAATAAAAAAATTAGCCTTAAAACCTAATTTTATACTACTTGTCTCTCAACAATCTTTCTTTTAATTATAATTTTTTTAAGTCTAGTACCTCACTACCAAAAATATGAAAACTTGTTCTTTATAAGCCTTTTAATAACTTACCATTCAAAACATCTATTCAAATTATATGGCTACTATAACTATAAAAAAACAAAAAAATACTAGTCTTATAATTTATTCATTTTAAAGATAAGAAATATAAAAAATAAAACATTCTATGTAATAGTGCTTGGATTCTCTCTTCATAGATTTGGAAATCTTCTTTAACTTTGTAACAATAGAATCAAAACCTCTAATTATTATTTATATTACTTCATATCTACTACATGATTGATACAATCAAATAATAAGTATTTTTACACAAATAAATTCCTTGAAATTATTTATTCTAAATAAATATTACATTTATATCCATATATATTGAAATATTTTTGCAATAACATACTTTTACAAGAGCATAAAATAAGGAAAACTAACTTATTTAATGCCGAAATTAAAAGAATCAATAACAATGAAAACACTTCCACTAACATGCAAGAATATGACATCTTCATTATGATGCTATTTCCTCATTTAAAAAAAATCATTTATTGGTAATACTCCAAAATGTTAACAACATCATGTAGAATTAGATTGCTTTGTTTTTAATTTAATTATTTATTAAAAATTAAAACCAACACCGCCATTGGATTCTTGGGTTTCTGATTCTTAACATCACCCGCTATTCTCAATTTTTATTTAATTATTTTTGAGTTGGTTCATTTTAATTATTTTACATCATTTACCCTTTTCTCACGCACTTACAACGCCATTGGCACCAAAACAATCAGCAAGTGGATCCATAATGATGAGAAGAGGAGAAAGAAAAAAGAAAAAGAAACGAATGAGAATGGATGTAAAAGATACATACGGACATGCTTCTTTATCATTCGTCGAGGGGGTGGGGCAGGTCCTAAACCTAGCCAGGAAGTGGTGCTGGGTTGCGGTTGCGGTTGCGAATGCGGAGCCGGGCCTCGTTCGGATGCAGTTGAGGTCTCTCCCCGATCTCTCCCCTCACTCTCAATTTCTACAGCAACCCCACATCATCCCTACCCCAATCCTAGCAGCACAGGCGCACCCGCTCACGCTCTGGGGGTTTGTTGATACCCGGGAAGCTGGTGACCAATTTGCCATTTTAGTAACGATTTTCCCCTTCCGCCTCCCGCTTTCCCAACGCCGATTTTTCCACCCAGGTATCATTCCAACGTCCATCGCCCTCTTGAAGATTCTTCCTTTTAATCTGTGCATGATCACGAGGTCTATCGAGCGATGCCAGTTGGAAATTCTAGTGGCGTTTGTTGGTAGAGTCGGTGATTATTAGATTTGGAGGAGGTGGTGGTGGCGGTCGGGGCAGTTATTTTGGATGGTTTTTGGAATGGTGGTTTAGAGAGATATCTCTGAGTAGTTGCTACAGATATAGTTTTGTAGTTGTTGACGTTGGTGGGATTTTGCTGAAGGAGGGAGGGATGGAGGGAGAGAGGATTGATGATTGGGAGTTGACAAGTTCAGTGTGGTTGGGTTGGTGAGAATTAGGGTTTGGTTTTTGAGGAGATGGCAGGGTTGAGGAGCGCGAGTTGTTTATTGTTGGGAAGTGGAGGAGGAGGAGGTGGTGGAGGTGAAACTTTGTGGAGAAGTTCGAGTGTCGGGGCTCATGGCTATTCTTGTGTAGTTGCAGCTGCTGATGGAGAATGGGGTTAATGTGGAGCCGAGGGCAGAGGATGAGCTCGGTAGAGGGCTGGAAGATGTCATTGCGACGACTGAAGAGCTGGAAATGGAGGTGAGGGATGACAAGATGCAGGAATTGCACGTTGGGGGGCTCAGCAGCCACGGCCACGCACATTTGGAGCATGAGGGTGATCATGCCGGAGAGTCTATTCATGATGCGATGATGGTGGAGAGTAGGGGAGATATTGGTGTTGAGCATAGAGATCCTAAAGCGATGGAAGAGGAAGAGGACCACATGGGTCTAGACGAGGATACGAGGATAGGTGGAGGAGAACCAGATAAAGGACAAGATAATAAAAATTACAAGGAAGGTCCGTGGGATGTTTTGGAGATGCTTGTCTTGGTATCTGGGATGAAGGAGTACGCAGAGACTGTGGGTGACCACTCTCTGGAAGACCACGTTAATGAACAGGAGAAATGGCATTCGATAGAGAATTACTGTTGGGGTCAACTTGTCCAACGCAGTGCATTAGATTGTCATGAGAAGTGGTTGTCTCTGAGTGCGGAGTTCAAGAGGGTGAAAGACTTTGAGAGTAGCATGGTGCAGGATCAGAAGTCCTACTGGGAAATGACTTATGATGAAAGAAACAATTCCCAACTTCCAGGGGATTTCTCGCAGGAGGTTTACAACATGCTGTGGCAGTGGGATGACAGGGATCGAATTGGTGAAGTAGGTATGTAAGGCTCGTATTATTCCTCTGAAATTCACCAAACCCATGCATTTTCTTACAATGGTTCCACGTTTGAGCGTTACAAGTCGCTTTGATCTTCACTTGTAAACGTCAACGTCAATTCTGCTGAACCCAAAACTGGGATTGATATTTTGTGTCTTGTTTGAGTCCCGAGTATGAAGCTCATTTAAGTCTGGTGCATTAGCAGCCGGTGATTGCCATTGTATAAAGATAGTTCAAATTTGATGTTTTGCCTTGATATTCTGCACCACTTGTGTTTGTGGCCTTCGGCACTTTTTCGCTCCTCCTGCCTGTTTTATCACATTCATGGAAAGTGACTGATTTACAAGTTTTTGATGTTTGCCTAATGTTGCAGGGACATCTCTAATTCTGGACGATGAAATTAATGTCAAGGAACAATCACCGTTTGGATCAATGGTTCGCACTCGAAAACGGACCGATCGTGGGGAATCTCAGATTTCCCGAAAAGCTTCACGAGGAGAGGCGGGGATGGAAGCGACATTCCTTGGTTCCCAGCTAATGATGTTTGGTAACCAGCAAGGTATATACCTATACGACGATTAAATGTTTTCTGTCTTAATAGATTGGCAGTATCTTAGTATCACTCAATTGGGTCTGATTCAGGGCTCAGGGTTCATCATTCAATGATTCACTTTTCAGAAATATTGACGAGCCTTGAGCTTTGAAATGCTTTTCTATATAACAACTAGCGGGTGCTTACGTGGACTATTCTACAAACGAATGAGGCGTTATTTCATTACATCTTGTAATAGTGACTTCACATGTGATTGGGTGCTCAGCAATTGACTATGATGTTGTAGTGGATATGGGTGGTGAGGGTACAGGTTCACTTGCGCTTGTCGAGCCAACTGAAGAGATACAGGCATCTGAGGATGATGAAGTTTGGAACGCTCAACTTGCCCTACTGCGTGCCAATCAGCAGTTTTGGGCCCCGCATGGACGAGCTTCTGCAACGTGGGCTTTTTATGTTGTGAATGATAATTCAGAGCCAGACTCCGGACGCCCTCAGCAAATGCGTTGTGCTATTTGCCATCCCGCTCAACAAGAGCACAGACCAAATAGTGCCACGCGAGTAAGGAAGGGTGTCGTAACTTACAACAAGCAGCACGGCACAACGTCTATGAAAAAGCATGTAGCTCAAGAGCATGGTGACATTTTTACCAAGTATAAAGCAACGCGTAAGCCAAGTGTTATGACACGGGCAGAGGGCCAACACTCGCGAAGGATGAAGAAAGATCCTTCGCCTTCTGTACTCTCCGATTTTTTGGGCAATCATAGTTCCAGCAAGAAGTCCGACCCCGCACAAGAAAGACTTCGGGAGGATCTGGTTCTGTATGTGGCAAAAGGTTGCCATCCCATTTCTATGATTGAGAATGTCTGGCTGAAAAGATTGCTCATGAACAGACAATGTGGCCGCTTGAATTTTCCCGATGGCCGCCAATTAGTAGATGAAGTTGTTCCTCGTATGGTTTCTCAAACAATGGAGAAGCACGTCTTGCCTGCGTTACGTGGTTGTGTGAGTGCTACGGTAACTTTTGACTTGTGGATGGTACGGAGGGGCGTCAACACTATTGCTTTGGTGGTTCATTTTATCAACGAGTCATGGGAGACCTGTCGTGTGACTATTGGTGTGTTTGAGGCACCTGAATCTGCCGGAGAAGAATTGGCCTTGGAGGTAAAAGATCTTTTCAGTTCCTTCAACTTGGCCGAAAAAATCATTGCATTTGTCGTGAATGATGATGATCCAAGCCTCCGTTCTCTCGCCGAGGCACTTTCTAAGCAGGTATCATGTTCTCCGCTCCAGTTGCCTGAGCCTTATGCAGGGACTTGTTTTGGACACGTTCTGTTCAAAGCATGCGAAAATGCAACGACTGATGAGAAGGGATGTGATGATTCGAGGGCATTTAGCATTGAAGCTACTGTATCTACTCTGAAGGAGACTATTTCTTGGACTACTAGATCAGCAAAAACGAGGCATCAGTGGATGAAAGCCTGTTTTGATGTTGGTCTTCAGCCTCGCAAGCTAAGAGCGCCCATGATGGGAAGGTTTGCGTCGAAGGTGATTCTTTGTCAGGAGGCCTTGGATTATCAGCATGCCTTAAGTTTGTATTACGGTTCCCAGAGTAATGACATGTACATCGAGGTTCCCAGCGTAGAGACGTGGGCTGTTGCAAAGGCTGTCACTGATGCTCTTACTCCCGTGCTTCAACAATGCATAATGAACCAGAGTAAAGCATACTGGTTGTTATCCGATGCAATTGCTACTGCGCTTAGTTTGTGCATACAACTACACAGGGAGCGATTGCCTAACAGAAGTTTGGCCGACCCAAAACTGGATCCAAGCTTTGAAGCCGCGCTGGATGTTTCACTAGATCGCATGAGGCAAGAGGTGATGAATACTCTTGCGCCTTTTCTCACTTTCACGGTTGAATATTCCGCCAAGCATGCACATAACATGCTGGTGTTAATGTTGGATCCACGTTACAAAGGCCTCAGTCTGGTAAAGGACTATGTGGGCAAGAATTTAGCTCTGCAGGTTGTCGCTGAAGTTGATAAGCAGGCTCTTCTTCCCTGTTTGGTTACTGTTTTCAAGCATTTGAATCCGTCCAGTGTGGAGAATGTCCCAACGCTGAGCCCCACTTCTAAAGATTCCTTTGATGAGAATTCCTTGTTTGGATCAACAGCTTCAAATGACGAGGCAATAGTTGGCCATTTGAAGGCAGAGCTATCTTTTTTTAGGAGGCTTCACATTGACCCGAAGGAATGTGAGAATCCATTGGCATGGTGGAAAGTCAGGGAGGTTCAATTTCCAAACGTTGGTTTTCTTGCAAGACACATTTTGGGAATCGTAGGGTCTCAAGTGGAAACAGAAAGGATATTTAGTGTTGTGGGCCTAATTTCAGCGATACGACGCCGCCATCTATGTACAGACAACCTCGACAAGCTAGTGCTAATTCGTGAAAACTGGGAAGAGGATTCAAGATCAGGTTCAGAAGAGCCAAGAACAGGTCGCAAAATGGAGGCGAGATTACATGACTACCTCCTGGCGGAGGAAAACATCTTAGAAGAGAATGAAGACCTGGTTTTCGACGCAGGCTTGTTTGATGAGTAGTCGCCTTGTTTAGCAATGTACACTTGGTATGATCACCTTGAAACTTTATTCGTGGCCAGCTGATCCTTGTGTTTATATGTGTTGGACGGCAATTGTACATTCCCATTTCGATGTTTACTTAGTGATTTTTTCGTGGGCACTTTTTCAACTTGTTTGTGCCCTAATATGCCCCAAGTCCACCTTCTGGCACAGTCGTCTAGGTGCTTCTTAAGCTTGATGCAATAACAATTGATGAAACGAATGATAGATTGAGTCAGAATCTTATTTACCGTAGCCGATGAGCTTTCGTGTGTACCCTCAAGTGTTGTTTAGGATATCACGAGAGTGAAGGAGATTGGTTTTTACATGCATTATGTCTCACTCGGCATTGACCCGCTGTACGGTTGAGGTCTTAGTCTTGCAACATTTAATGGTAGTGTTCATAAAGTCTTATCTCTTGTTAATTCATTGTAATGCATCGTAGGAGAAGAAAGCTATTTTCTTCCCTGGTTTTTATGGTTGGCAAACGTGATCTCTTCAAGAAGGAAGTGAATTATTTACATGAGGTTCCCTATGAGGGCGATGTAGTTAACACTATTCATTCATTAACATGCCATACGTTTATTTCTAAATTCTAACTTCTGGAAGTGTGTGATTGAGGGGTTCGTTTTGTCGGGTCTGCTTTTTGTGGGGTTGTTGGCAATGTGATCGTTAAGTGGATTCGTGACGTGGTTGTGTTGTACCTGGGTATATCTGGTTTCGGCATGGCCCGGTCTCGAACTACCTCCTCCTTGATAGGATGCCGGGTTGGTTTAGGGTTGCGACGTTGAGTAGGGTGTCGGTGCGGTCGGAGACTCAGTGGATGATCAGAATACTGCAACAGAATGCAGCTAGCTTCTGATTACCATTATGTAAGTCGCTGTTGAAACTGCGTTCCGTCTCGTGAATGGTACATCGCTATCTGATAAAGTGAAGGATACAGTCTCTTTCGGGATATGTGTTCAGCCCCGCAGCGATAGACACAGCCGAGAGGACAACATAAAGTCCCGCTTCACAAATCCATGCATCCGAATGTTATCACAGAGGACATTGTATGAGACCATCAATTTTACTGGGTAGCTTATCTCTAGGCCTGACGCCCCTCTGCAATGATTCCGGGAATCGGCCCCCTCAAGATAACTATTTGGCTTCAGCGGCGGATCAATCCTTTACTCATCTGCATTAGGTCACGTAAGATATTGCTAGTGGTGTGCTTTGAAAGAAAATGGTAACTTCGTTGTGATACCACTACGACTTGCTGATCAAAAGAATCGACATGCCGTTTCCAGGACATGCATACATGTGTGCAGCTTTTTGGTTGCATAAACAAAAGGCCATGATAAGAGGCGAAGAAGGGCTGCGTTCATATAGGACTATTTCGAGCAGAACTCCTACTGAAACGCCCACTATGTGCTTGGGACAAGAGCAGAATCGCTGATCAGATATTCACTCCGGGAAATCAGGGAATCGCTCCTGAAGCTGAAGTAATAGAGCTGAAAAGTGGCTTCTTCATTGTAAAGACCAAGAACTTAGCCATTATTGCAGTACAAGGTTTATCTGAAACTTGTTCATAACATAGCACTTTTATTAGATTCATCCCAGTCCACAATTAAGCTCAGTCACTTTGCTGTTCGTCATTTTCCTGTGAGCGCTATGTCAAACTGTGTTCTGCACATCCGGTGATGTGCGAAAACTCTTGCGAAGCTCGTCCCCCGTCCTAACACTCTACTAGCACCTTGCGACCAAATCAAATCGGCAGAGTCTTACATTCATTAAACCAAATGATCCTCACACGCTAGTGATAACGCTGAGAAGTAATGGAACCCCCCAACTTAAATATCAGAAGATGAGTTGCTAAATGCAATCACTGTAACCACTCTACCATTATTTTGTAATGATGAGCCAAAGAGATGACATATCATATTGCTTCTGAGCTATGCTCAAGTCGCAAGCATTATGAACAAGAGCAGTTCAAGTGTGAACAATACTTAAGTTGCTCAATAATTTAGATATGAACCTATCGCTGCCCTTGTAGCAGTAAAACACCTACGGAGAGCGAGTCTTGTATAATGAATTTGTCCGTCGAATCTCTTCAATGTTGAGCACAGCTTCTTTGATCATTTGAAATCAGTTTTAATGAATGTTTGCAGAATGATACGACTTCCAACAATTGATCATCGTTGTAGTTCTTCCACTACCATTGAGGTATGCAGAGAGTAATGAACCCTAAACAAGATGCCCGTACAGGCTTCATACTCAAGTGATTGGAAACAGCGAAATAGCTGTATAAATATAAGAATACTCCTACGTTCCCTATGGTGTGAACCTATGGGGAACATTTAGGGGTGACATTCAACACCCCCTCACCCAGTAAGTTCTAGACAAGCATAGTCACGTGAACAATGCTGGTCTAATTAAGAAAATTTTCAGCTTCACTGTGTTTTGAAACCTTTGTATCTAGCACCCTTGAAGTGTTTGACCATAGGTTCACGTTCATGCCACAAAGAATAAGTCCTTGGTCTACACCTTATCTTTACTGCACAAAATCTAAATTTTCTAGAGTATAACAAGCAGCAAAGTTGGAGTGATGCAGTACTTTGAGAGGAGTTGGTGGAGTCAGAGTTTGTAGCTGTTCGATCTTGAAAGCAAGTAAGCAAATCATCTATGTTTGTAATAAGTCAATCTATTATTGTTTTGAACAAGGCAAATAAAGCTCAGATCATTGTGAGTAGGGACTTCAGAAAGATTTTGTAACTATGGACTGTGCTTGTCATAATGGAGGATTACAAGAAGAAAATATCTAGAGGTACTAAGAGACTAGGTTCTAGATGCATAGCAAGTTGAGTTCTTTCCTGAACTTCTTGAATAACAATTTATCTAAAGATTTAAAAAAGATGTCAGTTGGCTATTCAATAGTTAGAATATATTCAAGAGTTAATTCTCCAATTTGAATCTTTTTGTGGATGAAGTGGTAGAGTGTGGCAACATGGCAATGTTGTGTGGTAATACAACTATATGGTAAAAAATAAAAATATGGATGTTCTTGTAGAAGAGCCTAGTAAAAAGATGTAGTAGAAAAACAACATTAAATTATAGAAAGGTAGTAAAAAGTTTAGTCACAAAGGTGGATTTTGATTTTAAGAAATAAAAACAAGTTTACAAATTTTAAATTTTTTTGAATTTTGTAGTATTTTGATAAGTAAAAATTTGGCAATTTGTTGTTGTGCTTGTTGTAAATGTGTGTGAAGAATTTGAGGTCAATCAAGTGGTTAGATTGAAGCATATGAAGGTTTTTGTGGATTATGGTCTTTAAAATTGGAATATAGAAGACTAGTGAGGATATCTAAGATATTTGTCAATCTGCTAGTTGGATTAAAATATAATTTTATTCAAAAGTGTTTAGCTTGATTTCCAATAATTTTGTAAATTTTAGAATAATTTAAATGGAGAAATTAAATGATTGTGGCTAAGAAATATCAATATTAAAGTTGAAGGAAGAGACTAGCCAACCTCAAAAGAAATTTTGGAATTATTATTTATTTTGTATGTGCAATCTTCTTCAAAAAATTTGTCCTTATTGCTAACTTAATTATTGCAAGGTATGAAAATTTTGAGTCAAAATCAATGGTTCAATCATTAATAATTGAAATTTTAATCTGCTATAGGATTTATTAAGAATTTATTTAAGATTTGGATTTGATTAAAGATTGATTACGATTGATTTAGGATCTAAGATTTGGTTAAAGTTTGTTTAGGATTTGATTAGGATTTAGAATCTGTTTAGAATTTGACTAAGATTGATTAGAATTTGAGTAGGATTTGATTAGGATTTGACTAAGATTTGATTAGCATTTGACTAAGATTTGATTAATATTTGTCTAGGATTTTATTAAAGTTTTATTAGGATTTTATAAGAATTAATTTAGGATTTATAATTTCATTAAGATTTAATCTAAGATTTATTTAAGATTCATTAGGATTTTAATTAAGATTCAATTAAGATCTGACCTAAGATTTGATTAAAATTCATTAGGATTTAATTAGGATTTAATTCAGATTTGTTTTAAGATTTCATTAATATTGATTAGAATTTCAATGAAGATTAAATCAAGATTTGATTAATATTTATTTAGATTTTATATTTTTAGTATTTCTTTAGGATTATTTATTTTTAATTTTTTTTAGTATTTCTTTAAGATTATTGTTGTTTCTTTAAAGGTTTATTTTTATATTTATTTAAGATTTTTCTTATTATTTTTCTTTGAGATTAATTTATGACTTCTTTATATTTTTTTTTGTAACTTCTTTTAAATTTATTTTAATTGGCTAAAATTTAATTAGAATTATTAATGATTACTTAAAGTTTATTTAAGATTCTATTAGACTTAGTAGAATTGTTGTTGTATTTCTACTTACCTTCTATAGTTAGATGCTCGATGCATTGTCAAGCAAGAATACATGTAATACAATAGTTGGTACAAAGATTGATACCCAGATTGATAGCTATTTGAATACAATCAATATTATTGTAGTAGATGCAAATGGATGATTTGATATTGAAAAAGTATGCATAGCTACAATGTAATTTTAATAGCTTTAGTTAGGATCCAATATTTTGCTTTGGAAAATGAAAGAAAAATAGTTAGTTGTTTCTTCAAATATCATTTTATCAATAATCTTCCTACTTTGAATATAAATCTGGTAGTTGATTTGGCACCATCTGAATCACCAATCCAATTTGAATCAATATATCTATGTAACATTTTTTTTTTTTTTTTTTTTTTTTTTTTGTAAATAATATTTTAAATTCTTTGGTGCCTTTTATATAACTTAGGATTATTTTTTCGGCTAGAAGGTGAGATAATTGAAGGTGATGTATGAATTTGCTACATATTTCAATTGAGGATTTAATGTTAAAATGGATGATAGTGAGGTACAGTAGAGATCCTACTAGTTCCTGATACAGTGTGGAATCATATTCTTCTACTCCCATATCTATAGCAAACTTACATCATTTGTATATAGAAGTGGTTGTGGGTTGATATTATATCATGTTGTATATTTTGAATATCTTTCTTGTGTATGCTTTTTGAATAAGAAAAGTACCACCTTTTACACAAATATTCTTTCCTTTCAAATAGATTATAAAGTTATCTTTT